AAAGATCCTGCTTGTAGGATCTGACCCGTGTGTTCGATGCTGAACAACCCTTTCAGCTACAGACCATAAACTTTTTCTTTATTACAGAAATATGAGATTGAAGTAGGCTAAGCTGTCACTACATTCTGCTGTAATTTCACTGATGCAAAATAAATGGCAATAGAAAAGTATGGAAACTTATAGGAACCAGCAGCGCGCAATCATGGAAAATGTTGATAATCTTTTTGAGAGGCAAAACAGACAGTTTTCATCACCTCATCATAAAACTCTCAAGGGCACAGCAATGCTTCTATGAGAAATACAAGTCACGCTTTTCTTTTGCACTTTATAATGAAGTTGCAACAAACCTTTGAACATTAGAAACAAAACCCAAGGAAGTAGCAGCAATATAAGAAAAAAACAGGGGCATCATTTTTTGGGGGGACAACAGATATTTAAATAAAATTCCACTAGTGTAAATTTCCACTTTTATAAATTCTTCAGAAATACTGATCTAAGTATTTAACCTTGAGGGCTGAATCACTATAAAAATGTAGCACATATGCTAAGAAAACTGGCACGCATCCTTGAATATTCACTATTAAGCATAATGTGAAGTGTCCTTGAAATTAAGTTTGACTCCTGCTGATTTCATGAACAATTCCACATGGTTTTCTTGCCAGTGATATAAAAGCGGCTTATCATTATTTTCTCCAAGGTCCTGGAATTACCTGATGGCCTCCCTTTCAAGTTCTAACCAGGTCTGACTCTACTTAGCTTCTAAGATCCACAAGGTTTAGGTAGGCACTGCCACCTACTGCAGCCTAAAGGTAGCAATGCCCCCAAGTGAAACTCGGCTGCTGCTGACATCATGGGCCCATCGTGGTGTGACACAGCTTTCTTTTTGAATGAACTACTTGTTGAACAGAGCCAGTGCTCCCACTTTTGAACAATTATCACAGTAGACCTGGCTTTAATTTTGGCTCCAGCCTTGTCAACTAAAGAAACTCTACAAATTGTGAAGTGCTGAGCGGCTACCAATACTGTGTTTTACATGGATAGTACATGCAGGTCTAGATGCTAAATGTTTTTAACTGTGCAAATTTAACAAGTTGACCCACATTTACAAGAGTGAATGTCCACACTGACTGCTGTGCTTTTTAGCTTTCATGATTTAAAGGACATAAATGTTTGTCATAGAAGGCACACTTATTTTATGCCAATAATGATTTGCAAACTTACCTTCTATTTAAGAACTGTCAATGATCTCATTATAGGTTCCTTAAAAGCAAGGCTTCAGAATTAAATATTACAATTTTATGTTAGAAACAGATTTATTTACTTTGGGTACAAAGGAACAAAAGTTCATTTTTAACAATTTAGCAGGCATTTTTAAGAGTTTGAGGGAACCTCAGGTAACATATGATTTGCTTCAAGAAGAATTGTTCCCAGATCATTTTTCCTTTGGCTCAGTCAATAATTAACTCAATTGTAATAAATGTACATAATAAATCAAAGCTGTCAACTGTTCATTTATAGCCAGGGAGGGCAATATGTGGTCTTTCAGATGTGTTGAACTCCAACACACATGAGCATCTGGCAATATAGGGTTAACAGAAACCGAGGTCCAGCTACATCTAAAATTTGGCTATCTGAGTTACAGAAAACTTAAGACCACACATTTAGGTGAAAATACACACAAAAACACAAACCAAGATAAAGACTGAGATGTACTTAAGGCCACTGGTTTCAATAGGCCAAGTATTCCTAACTCTGCTTTGGATCTGAAATGAAATCTCTCATTCCTTTTCTCAAGAAACCAGCATCTACCTGTCTTAAAATATACATGTTCTAATTGATTAGTGTAAATTGTGACTAAATCTCACTAAAAATAGAGGAAAATGTTTGTTGCAGCTATCTCAAACCTTGCTGTCTTAATATGGATGCTACTGACAACATTGTACTTTTTTATTTGTGCAAACAATTGGTTTATTTTTAAGACATTTAATGGTGGAAAGCTGTTCAGGAGGATATTTATTATGCAATTAATAATCAGTGTTTTTTTTCTAGATTTTTATACGTCTTCAAATGGCACTTAATGGATGCTAAAATCATTTACACTCATGATTAGTGCTTCTCAGCCAGTTTTAGTGCTAGGATCCCAACTCAGATTAATCCATTGTAGGGGAACATTTATTAGCCCCTGTTCACCCAGGTTGCACTGAATTACTTTTTTAATCAGGTGCAAAGATTAAAAAAAAAAGTCAGGCTTATATCTTGTGGATAGTTGAAATGGTAACATTTTAACAGAGTATGTTGACATTGCAAAAATAGACATTGTGCATACACACTGTATCACCACTTAAATTTCACATGTACTGGAGTAGAAAAAAAAAAAAGCAGTCCTGTTTTATATTAAACCTAACATCTATTTCCATATTTTGTTTATTTGTCACATTTATATAACCCCCCATCTCACACAAAGCGACTCTGGACAGGTATCATTTATCATATCATCCATGTGCAAATTGTACATGAATTTGTTTTATTGCACGCTGCCCAGTCACTTTGTGTGAGATGAGCAGCCATATAAATTTGATTGATTGATTGATGATTGATTGATAAATAAATAAATAAATAAAATGACTGTATGGAAATGTCTGATTTCTTTTAACAAAAAAGAGATAGACTGCATGAGTTAGGTTATTCATGGACACATATACCATAATATATCTAATCTATAAAAAATACGTTATATTTTTTGAGTGATTAACTTGAAATTGGTTCCTGCATGTCAAGTGTAAGCAACCTTTCCTTCATTTGGTAATCTCCAAATCTGTGGAACCACAACTCCCATCATCCCCAGGCAGAACAGCCATTGGGGAAAGCCAAAGTACATATTAGATTCAGTTGATTGCAATACATATTGCATATTAGAAGCAATATGAATAGGCGATTCACTTTCATTCCTGGTAGAATAATACTGGATCAGCTACATGAGGAATTTTCTTAAACAAAACAAAGGAGCAGCTGGCCAATTAATTTCTAATAAAATAGTTTTGCTAGTTTTAAGTTTTTTCTAGATTAAGTTTGGGTTTGCAAATGTCTGAAACTTTGTCTAGATTAGTGTGAAATTTAGTTGATTTAATCATTACTTCTTTACATAAATGTAAACCCATAATACATAAAGCAAATATGGATTCTATTTCTTACAAAATCTTAATTCAGAAATAGGTCCTTTGATTTTATTGGGAAAATATCAGTCAGCAAAAGTAGAGATTGTGTAAAATATTATTTAGTTACTATTACTAATGGGATAACATCAGAGATATAGTAGTTACAAGTATTCCAAAAGAAGTTTGTTTAAAGCTTTAGACACCAACACAGAAATGTTGTGACCCGCCATAAACTCTGCACTTTTCACAAAACCTGCATTATCTTCAGCTGCATATAGTTTAGGGGAAATAATTTACCTGTTATTTCTGAGAAACTCCTTCATATTGCAAGTAAAACTATGCTAGCATTGCTCTACTTCAGATGATAAATGGAAAAGGAGCCAAAAAAAAAAAAAAAAAAACCTTTCCGTGTAAGAAAATAGAAGTGCTACTTTTCTAAGTGCAGATTTTTTTTAAAATAGAACATTCATCATGAGTTATTTATTGCAGTCTAAAATGGTACAACCCAAATGTTTTGCCATTATGAATAGGAGCTCAGTTCAAATAAGACTGTTATCAGGCCTGTCCATGGAAAAAGAGGGTGTACAACATTCATTGGCTTGAGCACAATGCAAATGTAGTCAGGACCCACCTGGGATATTTAATTTACTTTACACACCTATGAGATTTAAGATCATTGAAAAAGATCCCTATTTTGTATCTCAATATCCACCAAAATGCAAAAAGGGGGATCCGCTTTGCAGGCTCTGCAGGACACCAAAGTGATGACTTCACTTTCTGCAGTCTGGATGTAAATCAATGTGCCGTCTTTAGGTTGTCTTTCACAGCTGATTCTCTTTCATCACAATCTTCTTACTGTAGATCTGAGTACAGAGGATAGACACCAAAAGCAGCTGCTCTGCTGAGACAATTGACTCAATCACTTTATCTTCCAGTATGCAATAAACCGCTTGGTTTGCTTTACCATAGCCTTCTCCCATCCATTGCTGGCAGTTATGGAGATTATGGTCCAACACATTTAGAAGGCACCAGATTTGGAAAGGCTGCTTTATAATGCCCCCAAACTTGCAATTTAGCAAGTACAATATGGCTTATGTACAAAACTAGTTTCTGTACAGACTAGCCTAAATATATCTTTATGGAATCATGCATATGCTAAAGAAAGCATAGCAGCCACATTTTTCCACATAGTCAGAAAAAGATGACCTACACGTGCAGATCACCATGCATGATGAGAACTCACAAGACTTCATTGTTACATATATTTACACCGTGCTTTTCTCAAATGGTGCAACCATCCTTAGGTGTCACAGAGTGTCCCAGGTTACATCAACAGCAGCGCTTCACATATCTCTGGCTTCAACTTGCAGAATTGTCCCATGTTGGCTGAGGATTTTGGGACAGGAAATGCAACATACATAGGGAAGCCACTAGCTTGCAAAGTTGATCTATTAGGCAGAACATGTGCCAACAGCTTAAACTGCCCAAAGATAAAACTGACTTTATCAAATACAAGCAATCATTTCCAGTATAATTAAGTTTAACTCTTCAAACGTGGAACTTCCATGTTCCATGGATAATGACAGTATAAGTGCACCTTAGATACCAGTGACCCTATAAAACAGATAGGCCACATTTCCACGCCTGCTTGTGAATTTAATTCATGAGGCATTTAATTATCCATCATTGGAACCAGAATTCCTAATTCCTCTTCAGAATCTCTGCTGTGCTCCAACCAACACAATCATGACTACATTCTTAAATTATTTCAGATTGGAAAGGATACTGAGGCACTTCAACGTGTTTGGCTGTCTCTGATTTCATAAAAATAACACTCCCATTATAAACACACACACACATTTGTGGCAGGTTTTATTTGTTATCTATGTAATCAGCACTTATGAACTATGGACTTAGAAGCATGTACTTTGAATGACAAAAAGTTTGTTGTTAATACAACTAGGCATTTCTTTTTTAGTTTTCTTGTGGCAACCTTGGTAACAGAAGGACACTTACCTATGCAGAGGTAGCTATAGCAATGATACATCAACCAGAGGCTTGGTCTAAACTGGAGTGCATTCAGATTTCCAGGACAAATTCTTCTGCTTCTGGCTTTTCTATTCTTTGCATTCTTTTTTTGCACTTTTCATACACCAGACCTTGCTGAATAATTAACACAGACTAAAGAGAGGCATTATTCATGTGGCTGTTGAAAATGGTAACTGTGTATCTAAACAGTTAACCTCTCTGCCTCTAATATCTACAAATATAATCCATTTCCTGAGGCCATGTAATTCTGCAACTGCTCTGTATCCATTTGCTCTCATTAGTGGAGGAAAGAAACATTGCTATCAAACGCAACTGCCTTTTTTTTGACAGAGGCCATAGTTGGATCTATGCTGGCACTATTCATGATCTTAAGCTCTTTAACAACCTTTACTTCATCCCTACTTTTTTATGCATTTCTGGATCCGCTGAAGATCAAACAAGAGCTTACAAAAGTATCTTTGATACCTGTTGCTTTTTTTTTTTTTATGTTCAGAAGAGCCATAATTACAGATGCAATTGTTCAGTTCAAAGAAGTGGGGGGAATGGGGGGAAAAAATGACAAGCAGCCCAGTTTAATTTCAAACGTTAATATATTTTCTATTTTATAGGGAATATATGTATTTTTCACCCCTAATTTGCAGCAATGGTGGCATCCTCATAAAAAGGGGTGAAATTTGTAAGATGCCTCTTAAAATAAATATTTCTTTTTTTATAAAATAATAAAACTTCAAATAAATATTCTTTACACTAAACAATATATTGAAAAATTAGAAAATAAAGACTCAATTTTACTGCAACTGTCCAAAAGGGGAAAATCAAGAGTCTTGCAATTGAAGGGCTTCATAAGGCAAAATACAATCTAAACCATATGGATTGATTCACATTCTTTTGAATGTACAACATATTAGTATAATATTTTGTGACTTGTGCCATATTTTCTATGACACTTGTGTTTTCACAGTTGAAAATATCCTATATACAAAAATATAGCACATCTCTGGCAGAAAATAATTGGGAGTGGGTTGAAGTAGTTTTCTAATTTACAAGTGTACTAATTCCTTTAAAAACACACAAACGCACAACACACGAGTTTGCCTAGAAATAGCTCGAGTCTCATTAGCTTATGCAATACTTAGGGGCTGCAAAGCGTATTCCCACTCTGATCTCCACTGGGCGGATTCTAAACAAGCCTCTCCACGAGGCTGGACCTTCTTCACTGCCCCCTCCCCAAAAGAAACAATGCCACAGTTATAGATCATTTAGTTGGCCACATTTGATGTTCTATAATCATTCTTATTACCCGATTAGTGATGCTATGTTGGCTTTTCAATATTCCTGGGTGGGACTTTGGGAACTTTGCAGCAAACTGTGTTTGACTGTTTACAGCGACAACCTGGCCTATTTACTTGGTCATAACACCCCTGACACAATTTAAGGCAACCCTTGGCTGGCAGGTAACACCACAAGCAAGGCAGAACAAGGGACACAATGCCCATGGTGGACCACCGAGTGCAACAGTGGGCCTGGCTACATGAACAGGGGTTATCAGCACAGTTGTCCTCATCATCATTGGAGCAGTGGTAGAAAAGCCCCTTCACACAGCAAACACAGGTCCCATAATCTACCATGTTCTGGGCTGAGCAAAGACACTGCTTATCACAGATCCAACAGGATGGAAGGGTCCGTGGATAAGTGCATTCCTTACACTTACACTTCCCACAGTCCTCACATCGGTAGGCATGCATATGCAAACTTTCTTTGCTAGGGGGTTTCAGCTCCCGAGACTTCAGCTCTGACTTCGGCTGTACTCGTATTATCCCCTCAACAACTGTCCCCAGAGATGACCCCAGAAGTCTCTGTTCTGATGAATTACTACTTGTACTTGTCCTTGCACTACCCCGTGAGCTAGTGCTGCTGACCGTGCTAATGGAACGGGACAGTGGTACCCGGGAAGAAACATGGACCTGGGGATGTTGAAGCCTGTTAAGATGACGCTGCTCTGTCAAGTCATGTGGCCTTTCACTCTTGTGCTGGAGCAGTGGACGTGGTGCTGGCTTCAGTCCTGGTCGTGGAGCCACCGTAGGGGGTTCTGTGTATTCATTTGTATTTCGGATAGCCTTGATCTGGTCCAAGGACAAGACATGAACTTGTTGTGCCAGGACATCCCTCAGGTCAGAATCTCCAAACTGTCTCCCAGTGTCATGCTGGCCTTGAAGCAAGGGTTGTAACCCACTGCCATTCTGAGCTCTTGTCTCCATCAGTATCCTGAATGGTTATCCCTCCAGAAAGCTTAGAACACATCTGAAATCCTATGTTAAAGAAAGAGAGGATTAGTTTTTGTTTTGTATTTCCAGGTGTGGTTGTTTGTTCTGCCAGGCAATGTATCTTAGCTTCACATGCAGCATTACACCCAGTCTCAGGAAAGGAAGTCAATCAACTTAAGTCTTAATCTTGAAATAAACACATTTTTTAAGGAAACCAACCTTTATTTGTCAACCTGGAACAAATCTGAAAGTTCATGGAAACCCACCACTCTAAACCTCCTTCAAATTATTTCAACATAGAAAAGAACTGATTTTCAATATTATCACAGATTCGCATGGAGGGCAGCTTGCAGCTTTTGCACACCTGACACAAACTCAAGTTGCTCTGAAGTGTACACTCGGCAAGCAGCTGCACGTGGCTGACCCCGGGACCCTGACATATGAACCTAGCAAACACCTGTCTCTGTTTGATTCACCTGATTTTTGGGGTTTACATCTGAATAGATAATGAGATTGTACCTGTCAGAATGAGGCTCCAGATGGGCTTTTCAAATTCTTGCCCAGTGGAGACAAATCTTACATATGTGCACGTAGCAGCCCCTGATTTCACTGGAACATACTCTATAAGTAAGCAGACATAGGACTGCAGACTTAGCCGAGGGAAAGGTGGAACTTAGTCCCCTTCAAGTTGTAGGGTTATATAATAGCCCTGAAACTCTGTGAGCAAAATGGGACCAGAGAACAATAGTTCTGACATCATATGGCAATCTAAGAAAAATGTTGTGAGCACATGAAGCTTAAAGATGATGCAGAAAGAAAAACAGATGATCTTGTGCAATGGTACCAGGAAAGACATCCAGAACAATAAGGTTGTTTGGAGTTGGGCGTCGTCAGATTGAATAAATAAATATTTTTGAAGGTGGTCTTAAGTGAGGCTAAAAAAGAAACAAAAAAACAAAAAAACAAAAAGCCAGACCCTCTCTCTTCAGAATTTTGTATTTGTGTTCCACTTTGCAATTCAGAGTACCAGTAGAGACACATTACAATCCTAAGCACTGTCAGGGTTTGCTGTGTGCATTCATAACACCCAGAGAGAATCCATTCACTTCCTGAACATTACCAGAAAAGGTGGTTTGGCTTACCTAGGCAAACATCCTACATATTAACAATAAATCACACAATTCCAGGAACAGCATGTGATGCTATTGCTTCACCTTAAAACTATGCTTCCTAAAGCCTATTACTTAGCTGTAGAAACACAATAAACTATGCTCAGAGTAACAAAGGTGTCAAACTGGAATAAGAATAAAGCTGAAAATCTTACTGTCTCAAGATTTAGTCAAATCTAGTTCACAAGGTGAATTGTTTACTTTGACTGGTAAAGGCAAACAATCTAAACTTTATTATAATCCCTGCAATTCAGCAGAGCACACTTTTGAATATGCAGGTATTTAAGAATGTCTGTCCACTGAACTCTGCAGGATTTATTTCTGGGAAAACCTGCAAGAAATGATTGCAGTCTTATGAATATTTGCTTGCAAGAGTAAGTATTTAATTCCTCAGAAGCCACTTCTGAGAAGTACTTAGAATTCTGACTTGAATTTGCCTTCTAAGAACATGAACAAACAGAACTCAGTAACTGTGTAATGCTGGATGAAAGTCAGGTACAGACCTATTTTGCAATAACTGTATAAAAATGGGTGTTTTCTTTTTAATCCTATACAGAGGAAAAGGCAGGCTCTTGGATTCTTCATATTGTAAATTTAGGATTTCTATGACTAAGCTTTGCCCTAAAAAAAGATTAGTCTCATATCTTCCCCCTTGAGCCCATTCTTCCTCCCCGCAACCCAGACATAGCTCCTTCTCTTATTATAGGCTTTTCCTCTGCATATATAAAAATAAAGCAGGCTGATAGGTAGGATTTTTGGAACCTACTCATTTGCCTCTAAGCCATCCTGATCCTGTTGAAAGAAGCCCCACAGACAAACAACCTGGAGATAAGCAGGAAACATCCTGGCTGGGCGGGGGTGTGGGGGGAGAGAAGGCAGTGAGAATGGGGCTTCTAATAAGATTGCCTTATCAGGAGAGCTTTGCTGCCTCTCTTCCTCTCCCCTCCCAGCAGGAGATGGCCAAGCAGAGACTCTCACTCTGGTTATGTAAAGCCTTCTAGATATCAACTCCATTCAGGAACACCTTCAAAGCAGGTACTCTCTTCCCTTTTCCTGCCCTGACCCAAATCATATAAGACTCCCCAAGTGTCACTTTTGATAGGACATGATTCTCTCCCCAGGAAAAGCTTAAAAGGCAGCATCTCTTTACTCACTGTTTGGTCTAAGTTGATTTGCATAAATGTCAAACAATCTCTCCCCCAGTCCTCAAGGCATGACAAAACAGCATACTGAACTTTTCCCAAAAATAAATAAATAAATAACAGCCCCCAGAATGTCATTGCCCACGGGGTAGAGGGGAGCTTGACCTATGAATAAGACAAAATTCACATTCCCTAGTCTACAAATAGATAAGATTTCCCTGGTGATGTCTCACAGGTGTTGAAAATGGCAAATAAAATCATTTTTTAAACAATGGTTTGTCCCACAATTTAAACAATTGTGTATTTAATGGGATGGATTTTCTGCAATTAACAAAAGTCAAGGTATATCCGCAGGGGGAAAACTGCTCCCCCACCCATCACCTCTTAAACAATTCTCTCTCTCTTCCCCCCCCCCCCCATATGTTTCTGTCTGTAAAAGGAACTTGTGTATGTGCCTTGTCAATT